ATGTTTGTAGTGTAATTTGCAAACCTGACTCTCTTTTCTTTGACATTTTTTTCATAGCAAAGCTTGTTTAAAGTTTTCATCTTCGTCACCAACCGCAGCATTTGATACATATTTTCATGCTATGTTTACAATCGATAAAGCAATAGCTATTGACGAGCCTCAAAAACTCGACAACAACCTACTAATATAATATAATACAACAGCTGACCAGAAAACTGTCGGTGAAGTATTGAAAATCAATACCCCAACAATATCAACATCAAGTTTCATTGTGGGAATTTGCTAATAATTAGATTGACAAACGCTTATTGTCTGTAGCAAACACAAAAATCTAACACCACAGACTAATAACTTATTTAGTCTCCGCAGTACGTTACGTTTGTAAGGTTTATTGTTGTGCCATGCAAATAGTACTAGATTTCCGATGATGGCGCAGGAAATGTTCTCACAGAATAACCACACGCTCCCATCAATCTTAGCCAAATTTAGTGAAAATTTCATTGTCACTAATATCACGTGCAAAAATAAACTATCGATTTGCTCCGGTGCCCATTGATACTACTTCTAGAAACAGTGATATAAAGCCATGCTTGCTTTTTACTACGGGAACGAAACAGCACTTTCTTTCCAAAGTGTAGATATTTCATACGACATAAAATGGCCTACTATGGACTGACCTATTTCGTTCCAGGGAGCGTTGCAAAACCCGTTCCATTGCAAGATGTTAAGGTTGAGGCAAACGGTAATTACGAAAGAGTAAAGACGTGAAAACACTATTAGTTTGGACTTTTGAACATAACTAACATACAATACAATTTATTTCTGCAGTTGTTGATATGATTGCTGAAGGTAAAATTCTGTTGGAATTTAGCAAAGAATTTACGGCATACTTATTGGTTTTATCTCACTTCTCAAAGTCACCATAAGTCAAACGTACAAGAATGTGGAATCAACGACGATTGAAGCAATCTACAAATTTCCAATGCATGAAGCTGCTGCAGTCTGTGAATTTGAAGCTGAAATCGACGGTAATCGCACGGTCAAGGGTGTCGCCAAAGAAGCTCAACAGGCTGCTAAGGAATATGATGCAGCTGTTCAGGTTTACATCGCATCAAACGGATGAATTCTTGATCACCAAGTCGTTACTGTGCGTTTATTAGCTTGACTTATCGAGATTACTCTTTTTTTTTTTTTTTTAATAAGAGTGGTCGTGGCGCGTATCTTTTACAGCAACAACTTCCGGATGTTTTTCAATGCTCGATTGGCAACATTACACCAAATCAGACGGTCAATATTCGCATAACTTATGTAACCGAGCTTAAACAAGACTCTGATTCCGATCAAATTCGTTTTGTCTTGCCTACTGCTGTTACGCCTCGCTATGGTGAGCCCCCGACGAGCCTGTTCCAAGCGGCAGCTCTACGGATTGAGAGTAATCCGACGTATTCGAGCGATACACAATATACATTGGACGTGAATATTACATGTCGCATGACAGCCAGTGTGTTGAGTGTCGAGTCACCCACGCACAAAATCAAGACTGAAATTAATTTGAATGGAGATCCAAAAACGTGCCGAGTTGGACTTGCAGAAGACAGAACTCATTTGGAAAAAGACTTTGTGCTCATTGTAAAGAGCACGGATTTGGATAAATCAAGGTATGGGTCAAGTCGTGATGGATATCTGTGATCAGAGAAACTCGGTGAAAGTAATAACGAGTATTTAGCGAGCTTGATATGTTGATCTGTTTATTTATAGGGCGTTCACAGAATACGATTCAAAGACCAAGACAAATTGTACCATGTTGACTCTCGTCCCCGCTTTCGAACTCAAGCCGGTGCAAACTGAAATGATTTTTGTTGTGGACAGGTAAACTATTTAGGTATTTTATATTCACGTTTTTGTTTGCGCACTCGTATACACCAACATCTAATTTTATTCTGTTTCAGATCCGGTTCGATGAGTGGCGGCCCGATAACAAAGGCTCGACAGACGCTCGAATTAATACTTCGCTCTCTGCCATCAAACTGTTTTTTCAATGTGATTTCGTTTGGATCGTCCCACTCTGCTTTGTTTGAAAAGTCTGTTCCTTATTCAGAGACCTCCTATAACACCGCCATTCAGCTTGCCCAGACGATGGAAGCTAACTTTGGTGGTACCGAACTCTTATCGGTTCTAAAATGGGTTTTGGGAAACACGAGTAAAGAACTGCCAACTGCCGTGTTTTTACTGACCGACGGTGAGGTCTGGAACGTAGATGAGATTGTTCAGTTGGTCGAGGGTAAAGTGAAGGAAGAGAAAGACAGTTTGAGATTATTTTCATTGGGTATTGGAAGCTCTGTCAGTCATCATTTAGTGGAATCAGTTGCGAGGGCCGGAAGAGGTTACGCCCAATTCGTCAGTAATGAAGAGCGGATGGACAAAAAGGTTGCTGGAATGGTCAAGAATGCTATTAGGCCGCCATTGACTGATTACAAGATTTCTTGGGTTGACACTGGGAATAGTGATCCGGGCGTTGTAAAGTACCGTCAAGCACCGTACGTAATCCCGCCGTTATATCAAGGCGTTCGCTGCATCGTCTACGCGCTTTTTGCGCCGGACTTTGAACCTGCACGTGATATTATCATTACAATGAAATCTCGCAATGGACCTGTAGAGGTTACCGTGCCGGTTGATTCAATCATTCTGAATGGAAACAAGATCCATATCCTGGCCGCCAGGAAACTAATACAGGATCTTGAAGATAAGAGAAGCTACCTGCATAATGATCCGAAAAATGAAGGAAAAGAAATATCAAACGAAGATACAAAAAATGCAATCGTTAAGCTTGCGACTGAGGCTAATGTAGCTTCGAAATATACAAGGTAAATAGTCTAAAAAACAAAATTTTAAGAGTGAAATTAGTTCGATTTAATATGTGGGTATTTATATATAAATAATTGTTTGCCTATTTAGTTTTCTGGCGATCGATGAACGAGATCAAATTCTCTCAAAAGCTGAAGTTCAGGAGCGCATTGTGCCTGTGCAAAGGGGGGGTGGTTTCGCGACTTTTGGTTCTGCTTCTATGGTTACTGGAGCTTCTGCTGGTGGTTTTGGTGGGTTTGGTTCTGCTTCTATGGTTACTGGAGCTCCTGCTGTTAGTTTTGGTTCTGCTTCTATAGTTGCTGGAGCTCCTGCTCTTAGTTTTGGTTCTGCTTCTATGGTTGCTGGAGCTCCTGCTCGTGCTAGTGCTTTTGGGTCTTCTACGCTTACTAGAAATTCTTCTAGTGCTTTTGGTTCTGCTTCTCATTCTGGTGGCTTTGGTGTTCCTATTTTCGGCGGTGGTCAACCAGCGCAACAACAGCAAGCGCAAATGTCCCAACAGCAAGCGCAAATGTTCCAACAGCAAACGCAAAGGCAGATACCGCAGCAACACTCAATGCAAGTACAACCACAAACGCTGCTACGCGAAAAATCACAACCGCAACAACAACCGCAGCAGCAACAGCAACAGCGTGATTCTTATTACGCGAACCGAAAGTGTGCTGAGGTATCGGAACCATTCATTGGTTTAGCTGCTGCCCATAATCCCTCTGAGCTGCTTTCTGCTGAATCGGATGAAGACTTCTATGATGACGATGATGCATTCGAGTTCTTGGAGGACGCTGATTTATCAGATATCGCGCAACCGCTTACTGATAACGCTCCCGACGATTTTGCACGTACATCAATCGTCTCGCCGAATAAGTTGGTTGTAGTTGATCCAAAATTGGCAGAAATCGAAACTCTTTATAGATTTATCAGATTTCAATCTTTCGATGGATTTTTCAAGCCAACTGCAGAATTGTCAGGATTCTTTTCACGCGAAAAGGACAAGAATTTATTCCAAAACAAAGATCAAGATTCTGTCTGGTCTACTTGTATTGCTTTGGCCTATCTTGAGATCGTAATGAAAGGGTTCAAGGAAGAGTGGGAATTGTGTTATGAAAAAGCGCAGACTGCGTTAGATGAGTTGAGTGGATATGACGCTAGCACCATTGAGAAGTTGATGCAAGATGCTAGAAAGTGGGTTACCGAGTGGTACGCTTAATGTATGTTGTCCGAGCTCGACGAAAGATAAATTTTTAGGATTTGACATGACTGTCTTGATATAATCGGTACGGTTAACCGAAAGTGAAGAAAAGGCTATCCCGTATATAGTATTAATAAATAACTATTTATTGTTGTATTTCTGCAAACTTATATAATAAAATTTGTATGGTAACAGTGTAAAATAATTCACAATTTCTAGTCAGAGGATACTTAAATATACTGTATATGATGTTTCTACGCAATGCTAAAAGTGACGTGTTATTTGCGACATGGTAACAACAAAACACTGTGTTCGCCTAGTTTGTTCGAGAGCTGACCAATCACATTCTGATCACAAAATGGAGAGGATTGTCGTGACGCAGTATTAGTATAGTATGAGTACTTCATTAACCATGTCCCGGTCTAGGTTGAGTACTCATATTAATGAATTATCAGAGACTGATGCACTCGAATTGAGGAATGATGGAGCTGAATATTTAATGCGTGGTCAATACGAAAACGCTTTGAAGCATTTTACTAAATCTTTGGAATGTGAACCAAACAATACATTGACATCAAGATTAATATTAATGATAGACACTTACTCGCTTAATCCGCATACCAATATATTAGATATGGGAAAATGTCAAACTAATTCTTGGCATCTTGAAGATAATCAGATTGACTATACAGGAGCAACACTTTTGGCAAAAGCTTTAGAATCAAATCCATCATTGACTTCTTTGAATCTTATGCATAATCAGGTTGACTATACAGGAGCAACAGTTTTGGCAAAATTTTTAGAATCAAATTCATCATTGACTTCTTTGAATCTTGTGCATAATCAGATTAGAGATACAGGAGCGGCAGCTTTGGCAAAAGCTTTAGAATTGAATTAAATTCATCCTTGACTTCTTTGAATCTCGAGAAAAATCTGATTGGAGATACAGGAGCAGCGGCTTTGGCAAAAGCATTAGAATTAAATTCATCCTTGACTTCTTTGAATGTTGCATTTAATCAAATTGGAGAAATTGGAGCAACAGCTTTGGCAAAAGCATTAGAATCAAATACATCCTTGACTTTTCTTAGTCTTGTGTATAATCATATTGGAGAAATTGGAGCAATAGCTTTGGCAAATGCTTTAGAATCAAATTCATCCTTGGATTTTTTAAATCTTTGGTACAATAAAATTGGAGAGACTGGAGCAATAGCTTTGGCAAAAGCATTAGAATCAAATTCATTTTTAACTTCTTTGAATCTTAGGCAAAATGAAATTGGAGAAGCAGGAGCAATGGCCTTGGCAAAAGCATTAGAATCAAATTCATCTTTGATCTTTCTTAATCTTGTGTATAATCATATCAGAGAAACAGGAGCAATAGCTTTGGCAAATGCTTTAAAATCAAATTCATCCTTGACTTCTTTGAATCTTAGGTATAATGAAATTGGAGAAATAGGAGCAACAGCTTTGACAAAAGCCTTAGAATCAAATTCATTCTTTAATTTAATTCATGATAGGAGTCAGATTGAAGCAAATTTTGAGATAAATTCCTCAAACTTTCAGCATAACCAGACTACAGTTGAAAATACCAAAGTAGAATCACAGTCAGGACATATGATTTACAGTCTATATATATAATATTAATATAGGTGTTCACTTACAGAATTGTACTCAAATATTATTACAATAAATTATACTTAGTATTAGCACTCAAGTATTTGTTATTTTGTAAACGGATGGGCTAACATGAGGATTCTTCTCATTTATGGTCCATGTAATTACTGATTGTACAATTATTATTGTATGCATACGGGTCGCCAAATTAGACATGCCTATGTTGTACCTCAGTTGGGAACCTGTCTCAATCTGGACTGAGTGTCTGGGTTCTGGACTGAGACAACTGAGTTCTGGACTGAGTGACTGGGTTCTGAACTGAGACAGGTCCTGAACTCAGACACAACACCCCTACACGAGTATTTCTGATAACAATAGCGTCTCATATTTCCTACTAAAATTCAGAGAAGCCTAACCCAACGAGTATAGAGTCTTGATATTTCTATTAACAATGTATCGAATTATAAACTCGGCATTAATCCTTCGCTAAACATTGAGCGTAACCTAAATGTAACAGTATTAAGTATGCAAGTAATTAGTTCAAAAATGTAATATTGTCATAAGGCTAAACATATCCCCTAGTTGACATCCGGAGTTAAATCGTGCAATAATTGTGAGCGCACTCAAAAATTGATGAGGAAGATAACAGTCGAACCAATTTTGCAAGAGAAATAAATTTTCGTTACTTATTAATTGTTACCACGTAAATCATTAACTGCTCAGTTTGAGAATGGAAATATTTTGACGGTCGACAACATGTGAGTCATAGCAAGGCGAGCGTTATCCAGTTAGTGATGATGACAATATACGATGTAAGTGAGTTACTTCTCGGATAAATTTCGTCCGATAGAATAAATTCGTCATTCTGAACGTCATAGTTAGTTGGTTAAATGTTTTGATTTCCCTATTTTCAGTGCTGCCATTTTCTGACAGTTGGTGGTATGATACTTATTATTGAATTTATATATAATATCTATGTAAACTTGCGTTACAAGTTTATAACTTGTGGAATAAAATAATGCGGTTCGTTTGCTCTGCTATAATAAAGTTTTCGGCATTATTAAAAATACGTGCGTACACTGGTTTAAGCTTAAGGTGGTGCGACACACACATCTACCAGCCAACTTGTCAGCCAAATTTGGGCTAAAAATACGGACAGATCGTGTGAAATTAACAGCTCTGCGCTTTTCGATTTAGCGGTAGCTACTACAGTACCAACAGATGATTTGGTTTAAGCGATAAGCAGAATGGTAGAACAGTAATGTGCTGTTCATTTATCGCCGTTGTTACTATGCATTTATTGCTTGATGAGCCGAGTTATCAAACAAGTTTGTGCTAATCATACAATTTGACGACTGGTGAGTGGTTTTTGACGAAGGATTCAACTATACGACTTGTGGTTTCTGTCTGTATGCGCACAATTTGTCGAATAATCTGATAATTAATAACGGCTCGGCTTAATCAACATTTAGAATTTGTCAATACTAACTATACGTACGCTTTATCAAAATTCATTGAATGAATCGTTCTGCGAGTAGTTGAAGATAATTAGAAAATCTACACTATTTTTTCTAATTCTCGGCATTGGCATAGAATTGTACAGCTTTTGTGAGAACAAACATTATTTGACCACATTTGTTATACGATTCTTGTGACAGTGATACATGCAATGTCTTCCAAATAAATGTTCTGAACTTTCAATGTTTTACGTATGTAAATGCAGGTTGGGGAATTTGACAGACATATGACAGTAACGAAACGTTATGAAGCATAGTTAACTGTCATAATCGACAGTGCAGTAATTTGTTACGTGTAATACTATTTATGGTATCATGAAATAAGATTCAAGTGTATATGAACGATATAATATAAAGACGTAATACAAGTGGTAATATCACAAGTGACTTGCGCTTATACAGATTAGTTATTTCTTATGCTAAAACTTACAAACGTTAAAGTAGCATATATTTATAACAAACTCAGTTGTTTATACGCAAGTAGGGTTGATATCATAATGCCAATAAATGATTTATAATGTTGTTGTCTTTACTATTCCAATCCGCATACATGTCCATTCGGAATGGACACAAATTCCAAACCGACATATGTCCATTCCGAATGGACATAAATTCCAATCCGACATACAACAGAATCCGTTATAGGGATTGCTATATTATAGCAAAATTGATAATAACAAAAAAAATACAATCTATTTAATTAACCAGATTAATTTAGCCAGTCAGCGTACTGTAAAAAAAAGGTAATTGCTGCGGTGGCAGATAGTTTATCTGTTCTATCTTCTATTTGTAACACTAAACTTTATGTTTTATTTCTTCACTTTTTAACTGACAGTATTGACGTATATAATTGTGGTAAATTTATACCAATACTAGAATATCAGCCGTTAATGATTTGATTTTATATAGTAAACAACGAAACTTCGATTATAGAAAACGTGAATATGGTTACGAATATTAGACCCTTTTTGTTGTTGTTTTTCTCTTCGCCTTGATGGTAAACATCCGATATGTAAAGATCCAATTATCGTTTATGTGGAAGTACGCTTATACAAATTAGGATTTAAAGAACCTAGTTAAGATAATTGTGTTCGCGTATAATGCAGAACGGTGTAACCAACATTAGCGCGTTGCGGAACTAAATAGGAATGAGATGTATCTTACAATGCTACAAAAAACCCAATCAAACGACAGTATTCTAATAAAGTGTCTACAAATCTCATTATCATTGATTTTCTATCAATAGACCATATTAAGACAATTACTCAAATGATTGGTATCAACAAGAGATTATAAAACAATTTGTGCTTTCGGGGACAATTTTTTGTAAAGTTAGCAAGTAAAATAACTAATCTGTCCAATTTTGCCATGCTTTCGTATTCTGTATACAACGTTACGTTTAAATAAGGCATAAGACCCCTTATTCTAGATAATCAAAAATTTGTTCATGTTTGACATCAAAATCCGCACACAGCATCATACCATACATTTAAAGAGCGTCATTGTTTATTACAGTGTGAGCAACGGCTGGTTACTTAAAATACTGCGAATTAGCATATTTTAATATAAATTCTCACTACAACAAACAATTTAATCACGCTCAAACCAGCAATTGTACTCACGATGTACGATTGATTATACGGCATGCAAAAAAGCTCGTACTCGTCATACCTTCATTGTTTGTATGCATATAAAAAAAAAGACAACGAAACAAGGTGCAAGAAAAACTTTAAACAAGCTTTGCTATGAAAAAAATGTCAAAGAAAAGAGAGTCAGGTTTGCAAATTACACTACAAACAT